GATATTTCGAGGCAACTACTCCCGTTTCTGCAAAAATTAGTATTTTGCAGACTAAAGCCAGTAGAAACTTAAAAATGTCCCCAAGTTTTAGAAGATACTTCACTCTAAATAAATCGAAAGTTTCATAAAAATCACAAATAATTCTGAATTTTTCCAACTTACTAAATGTGGATCTAAAAATTGATTTCGAGGGAACTACTCCCGTTTCTGAAAAAATTAGTATTTTGCAGACTAAAGCCAGTAGAAACTTAAAAATGCCCCCAAGTTTTAGAAGATACTTCACTCCAAATAAGCCGAAAGTTTCATAAAAATCGCAAATAGTTCTGAATTTTTCCAACTTAGTAAATGTGGATCTAAAAATTGATATTTTGAGGCAACTACTCCCGTTTCTGCAAAAATTTGAATTTTGCAGACTAAAGCCAGTAGACACTTAAAAATGTCCCCTAGTTTTAGAAGACACTTCACTCTAACGACGCCGAAAGTTTCATAAAACTCACAAATAATTCTGAAGTTTTCCAGCTTAGTAAATGTGGATCTCAAAATTGATATTTCGAGGGAACTACTCCTATCGAAAAATTCGTATTTTGCAGACTGAAGCCAGTAGAAGCCTGAAAATTTCCCCCAGTTTTAGAAGACACTTCACTCAAAATTCATTCTGAATGTTGTCAGCTTAGTAAATACTGGAGGCAAAATGAACGCTTTTCCAATTGGATTTTCGCTTTACATTGATTCCCAGAAACAAATAGTTTAAATAATTGCATATCAGAGTAACGATTAGTAAGGAAAACAAACACATCTAGTGCTCATGCTCAAAAGCTGATAGAACTGATCAGAAAAAGCCTGAAAATCATGCTAATGGATCAGAAGTGCCAGATTACTCACCCATACAATCGACTGTCTCGAAAACTAACCCTAGGATAGAGCAGGTTTTAAAGTGAAAACAATGGCCGCAATTAAAATCAATGGAAAGCGCGCACTTACCTTCCATTTCCATGCCGGAATAGAGCGAGTATTTCTTCGAATGTTTTGTTTTTGGTTTCCGGCACCTTCTTATACGTAAAAATCCAAAATAAGGCTAGGAACACGCTAAATGGCAGGAACGTATAGTTATCGAGGGCAGTCTGGAAAATGAACAAATTGCGCTTAGTCCAGCCGATTTTTCGGATTGGAAATATGGAATTTACCTTCATACTGGGAAACACGATTCCCACCAGGAAATTGGCCATCCAGTTGACCAGGACAGCGATCGACATGGCGGCAGGTCGGGGCCCTTGCGAGAAAAGTTCCGCGGTGATCATCCAGGGAATCGATCCAGGCCCCATCGCGAAGAACTTGACGAAACATAGAGTCGATACTACAGACAAGTAGGACATCCAGTCGATCATTTCCTGCACATAGCCAAAAAACTCCTATCAGGCGGTAGAAATGAGTCCTTTCTGAACAGGCGAGGAGTGACAAATTGATGATGATAATTATTATGCATGATTTGCCGGTGCAATGTTGTGTCCATGTGTGTATGTGTGTGGATAAACTCTTGCATCCAGGATGAGTTTTTGCATCCAAATCTCGCGCAACTCTCATCCTGCATACGCAACTAAATCAGGCAACAAAGTGGGAAGTTTTAATTTTTTTAAATCCTTTGGTGCCTGATGGTGATGAGAAACTTAATGCGTGCGTGTGATGTGCCTCAGCTCTGGATATGTACAGCGTCGCTCCTCCACCGTGTCAGAAAGTTGGACAGTTAGAGCAGGGTGAAGCTAAGAAGCCGAAATCAATATGTCAACGTGAGGAATTGGGCTCGAAATCGTTTAGGCTTTTTACAAGATGGAAGTAGGTGATTTTTTCATTAGAAAACGAAAATCTCGTAAGGGAAGTTGGACATGAAAAACCCAATTTAAAGCAATGTTCTTCACGATATTTGGGAATTAAAATCGCCCGGTTTAAAATAGAATTTTCCATGTCAAACTCTGTTTGGCCAAATGCCCTTTCCGTCAACAAAGCGTTGCGTTGTGTGAAATCTAAGAAGCAAACCAATAGTTGAGCAAACTAAGAAAACGTTCTAAAGCAACGAAACGTTAAAACTTATTACTAAAGTGGGTCAGTAAAAAAACGATTGTAACAGGTATTGTTGATCTAGTGCTGATCAAGTAACTGAACTGGTCAATTGTTTGTACCCAATGGTCTTATACAGGGTGCCCCAATAAAAATATCGAGAGGGTCGAATATTACGCGCTATTACCGTTATCGTCTAAAGTTACAGTTAATTCAGACAAAAATTGCCAAATTTCATCACAATATTTGGAGACGTTGTTGACGAATTTTGTTTGGTTGAGAAAATATGGGAAAAAAATATTACCGAAACGCTTTTTTGGCACATAAATCCAAAACTATAGATTGCGGGAAAAAATGGTGTCTACAACATTTTCATAGCTTTTTAAGCTCTACGCTTGGATACCAAATTTTACAAAAATATCACGCACACAACAATAGCATTAGAAAGTTGAAGTTTTTCGGGCACAACACTGTTTCGAACACAAAAACACTCTAACCCCGACTAGTGATTAGTTTTTGCAAAGAAATCAGTGTTGTGCCCGAAGGGCTCGGCACAACAATCGCATTAGAGAAAAAGTTTAATATCGTCTTGTTGTGCCGAGCCCTTCGAGCACGACAGTGTTTCATCAGCTTCAATATTTAAAAAAATATAAACCTGAATAAATTGCGCGAATAAATTTTCAAATCTCTAGCCCAGATATTTTCATAATAATGGTAAAATCATAGTTAGAGTTAGAGATAAACTTAATCGTCGTAATTTTAACTCGTTTTTTTTACCATTATTATATCGCTTCGATGTACAGGGTGATTGATTAGGAATGGGAAATTCGGAATCTCGAAGTTGATATTTTCTCGAAGTTCAGCATTTCTGAAAATATCAACTTCCAGATTCCAAATTTCCCATATCCAATGAATCACCCTTGTACGTCGAAGCGATACGCAATGGGACACCCTGTATGGCCAGTCAAACCAATTAGAATCCTCTATAAATACACCGGGTGTCCAAATAAGGCTAAGCCCACTTAGACACGCCGTATCGCGATATTTTGTGCATGGAGAGCTGTAGACGTTGAGACCAACCGACCTTGATCAAAAACGAGATTGTTATGAATATGGAGAAAATGAACATCCCGCCCAGGCCATAAAGCAGGAGCGTCCTGCGGCCCATGCGGTCCATCAGGGGGATGGAGATCAGCGTCATGATGACCATGATGCAGCCGATGCCGATGGTGGCGAATTTCGCACTTTCCGGCGTGAGTCCTGCCGTCTCGAAGAGATTTGTGGAGTAGTAAAATACCTGGAATTGATCGAGAATGGGAGCGGAGCGCTTGAGGTGATCAACCACCGGCGTCTTACAGCGTTGATGCCTGAAAGCTGCTGGGAGAGTTGCAGCACCACGCCAATGTAGAGCGGAGTGCGCAGAGTGGGTGAGCAAATGAGTTCGAACATCGTGGTGGAGGACTCGGCCTGCTGCGCCCGCTCTTCCGCTCGCATCTCTTCAATATCCTCCTCCACCTGGGGAATTGAGGGCGGTTGGGGAATACGGTACAGGAGTGAGGAGGTACCTGGTTGCTGGCTCGCAGCCTCCGTAACGCCCGCCTTGACTCCTCCTCCCACTGTTTGGTGAGGAGCAAGTAGCGGGGGCTTTCGGGACAAACGGGAAGCAGCACCAGTTGCAGCAGGGCGGGCAGCACGGCCAATCCAAGCAGGAGCGGCCATCCCTCATTGGTGCCCAAGATCTGCTCGATGCCCAGCACTTGCGATATGAGCAGGCCCACAGTCACAGCTAGCTGATTGACAGTCCCCAAACCTCCACGGAGGTTCAGCGGGGAGATTTCCGATACGTACATGGGCACCAGGGATGTGTTGAGGCCTGGATAGCGGTTTCCACTCATCAACTCACCTGGATTGAGGCGGAGCCTTTTTCTGATTACTTACCGCAGTTTATGCCAATGATAAATCGGCCGGCAATCAGCATTTCGTAGGAGTTGGCCACTTTGGCGCACCACATCAGAGACCCGCCGGTTATCCCCAATATGTTATTAAGGAGAAGTCCACCTTTCCTGCAAACGCCGAGAAGTCAAGGTTTCAGTTAAAAGGTGCAAGGTGTCGCTCCCCAAAATTTGCTCACCTGCCAAACCGATTGGCCACCATTCCTCCGCTGAAGCCGCCCACCATTCCACCAATGGCGAACACCGAGACCACCACCGAATAAAGAGTTTTCACGTTTTCGTCCAACATGTCAGCATTGTACCGGGACTTGTACACGTCCTTCATGAAGTACTCGATGTTGCTTTGGGG